ACCATGGTCATAACATAAGAAAGATCAGGTCTAGTACAATTCATGGCGTACATGATGGATCGAATAGCCGAAGCATATGTAATATCTTTCATCTTGCTTTGTGCTAGGACACTGAGATGAACTCAATATGGTGTCATGTGCCATAGGTACAAATCCTCTCTTAGAGTTTTCCATATTAAACTGTTTCAACACTTTCTCAATATATGTACCTTGGCTTAAACCTATTAATCATTTTGATCTATCTCTATAGATTTTGATTCCAAGAATGTATTGTGCCTCACCTAGGTCCTTCATTGAGAAGCACTTTCCAAGCCAATTCTTTACACCTTGTAAATTTGGAATGTGATTTCCGATGATTAATATGTCATCCACGTATAGGACCAAGAATGTCACCGAGCTCCCAGTATTTTTCATGTAAACACAAGGTTCATCTTCATTTCTAATAAAACCACACTTTGTGATTTCATCATCGAAACAATGATTCCAGTTACGAGATTCTTGTTTTAACCCATAAATGCATCTCTTGAGCTTACACACTTTATTAGGATGCTTTTGGTCGACAAAACCTTCGGGTTGAACCATATACACATCTTCTTCCAAGTGCCCATTTAGAAAAGTGGTTTTGACATCCATTTTCCATATATCATAGTCATAATATGCAGCTATGCCATGTAGTATCCTAATAGATTTAATCATAGCGACTGGTGAAAAGGTTTCATCATAATCAACCCCATGATTTTGAGTGAATCCTTTAGCAACAAGTCTTGCTTTGAATGTGTGTAAATTTCCATCCATGTCAGTCTTCTTCCTGAAGACCCACTTACTTCCAACAATCTTGCTATTGGGAGGAATTTCATCCAAATCCCATACTTGATTTTCTCTCATGGATTGCATCTCTGCGTTCATGGATTCAAGCCATTTGTCAGATTCGGGATCTAACATTGCATATCGGTAGTTGATGGGCTCATCATCATTCATCATCATGAAACACTCGTCAATGAGAAATCCATATCTCTCAGGTTCATGACGAGTTCTACCGGATCTGCGAACGCCTTGTGTTTCAACAGGTTGAAGGACAATGATCTCTTCATCTTCAACAAGCTCTTGTTCAGTACTAATGCCAACTAAAGTTGCATCGGGTTGAGGTTCTTGATCTTCTTCAAGTTCCACATGCCTTCCACTTGCCTCATCCATTAGAAACTTTCTTTCTAAGAATTAAGCTTTTCGTGAGATAAAGATCTTATTCTCACTAGGAATGTAGAAGTAATATCATAAACAATCTTTAGGATATCCTACAAAGATGCATTTGGTAGATCTGGGCTCAAGTTTGCTTGAAGTCTCCTGTCTAACATAAGCTTCACAACCCCAAAATTTCAAATAAGATAATGACGGAGCTTTTCCATACCACATCTCATAAGGTGTTTTCTCTAACTTTTTAGTTGGTGCCATATTCAAGATACGAGCTACAATGAGTAAAGCATAACTCCAAAATGATAAAGGAAGAGTACTTCGACTCATCATAGATCGAACCATATCAAATAAGGTCTGATTTCTCCTCTCAGAAACACCATTAAGTTGTGGTGTTCTAGGTGGAGTGAGTTGTGAGATAATCCCACGACTCCTTAGATGGTCTTGGAACTCTTGGCTCAAGTACTCGCCTCCTCTATCCGAACGAAGAATTTTGATTGTTTTGTCGAGTTGATTTACAACTTCACTTTGAAACAATTTAAACTTTTCAAATGCTTCATATTTATGTTTCATCAAATACACATAACCAAAACGACTAAATTCGTTAGTGAAGGTGATATAATATCTTTCACCATATCTAGACATTGTTTTGAAGGGTCCACATACATCAGTGTGTATGATTACTAACAAAACACTCGCCCTTTCATTTGTTCCAAAGAAAGGGGATTTTGTCATCTTGCCACATAAACAAGATTCACATATGTCAAATGACTCAATGTCATTTGCCCCTAAAAGTCCACTCTTTTGGAGTTGAGATATGCGCTTCTTGTTTATGTGTCCAAGGCGGCAATGCCATAGATATGTTTGGTTCAAATCTTGTTTGAGCCTTTTGGTGTTATCATGATAAAGGGGCTTATTGTTTGAGGTGTCATCTTGGTTTAATTCATAAATTCCATTTATCAGTCTAGCCTGAAAATAGAATATTCCATCCAAGAAGGAATGAATATTATCATCAACAAATTGAAAATTAAAACCATATTTTCTTAAACGGGAAACTTATACAATATTTCTAGTAATAGAGGTAATAACACACATTGTTTAATGTTAAGTACAGACCAGATGGTAATTGTAAATCAAAATGGCCTATTGCTTGGACTGCAACTTGTGCTCCATTTCCCACATGCAATACCATCTCATCTGTCCTTAGTTCCTTACTCTTTCTGAACCCTTGTAACGAATTACAAATATGAGTTCCACAACCAGTATCAAATACCCAAGTGTTAGATGAAAAAGTAAATAGTCTCATTTCAATCATGAAAATGGATATACCTGAAGGGCCTTCCCCGACCTTCTTGTTCTTCAACTGAGCAAGGTACTTAGGACAATTCCTTTTCCAATGCCCCATAACACCACACTTAAAGCATGTGTCATCTTTGGCAACCTTTTCCTTCTTCTTTGGTGGTGGGTTTTTGGGAGCTTTCTTCCCTTTTCCCTTGCCAGCTTGTGGTTTTCCCTTGAAGTTCTTGCCTTTGTTCTTCTTGACTTTTCCTTCCCTAATCATGAGCACTTGGGGGTTTTGCTTGGGATATTCTTCTCTGTAGTTTTTAGCATGTCGTGCAACTCAGAGATAGGTTTCTCCCACCCATTCATGTTGTAGTTCATGATGAAGGTATCATAAGACTTTGGCAATGAGTTCAGAATTAAGTCTGTGGCCAAGTCTTGTGGATATGGAGAGCCTAATCTCTCTAATTGATCCATATAGCTTTTCATCCTATGAACATGTGTGCTCACATTTCCACAATCCTCTATTTTCATGCCATGGAGTGCTCTCACAGTTTCGAACCTTTCGGTTCTAGCTTGCTAACCAAACATCTGCTTGAGATGTTCAATCATGTCAAAGGCAGTAAAGAGTTCCAGATCCCGCTGAAGATCAGAAACCATAGAGGCAAGCATAAGACATGAAACATCAAGTGAATCATCTATATTCTTAGCCATGCATCATGTGCAACCTTTGGGAGAGCAGCTGGTTCATCAGGGGTTTGTTTTTCAAGGACATAGTCTTTCTTTTCTGGTTTCAAAATGATTCTTAAATTTCTGTGTCAATCCAAAAAGTTGGAGTGGTTGAGTTTTTCTTTGTCAAGAATTGATCGAATGTTCATTGGGTGGTGGTGTGTTACAGTAGTTGGTGGAGCCATCTACACAAGTTTAACAAAGTTTTCATTTAGTATTTAATTCTTTAAAAATAATACCCTTTAGTTTCCGAAAACATTATTTATTTAAAGTCTAGGATCCAAGTTACAAATCAAATAAATTGTTAGGTATCCTTTATCCCATTTACTCAATTTTAACAAGGTAAATAACTTGTATTAATTACACCATTTGTAATTCCTAGATGTATGAGACCCTTAACAATCCATTTGTTAATTTGACATGTTTGGTCGCATCTATGCCTTGGAACACTCTTGCTTAGGTGACCTTTATCACAAGAGGTTTCCAATCAAGTCATCCAATTAGAGAAACATGTATAATTGGCCTATAACTTGGTTATAGAAATCCCAAAAATACTTTGGCCACCAAAAGATGATACTAATGGTTAGGTATCGTTTATCCCACTAGAATTATACAAGTGATGTGCAAATTGTTTCTAAAGTTGGATGGCATAGACTTGCATTTTGAAATAGGGATTTGAATATTTTATTATTCTATTTAAAACATGTGATATCATGACAATTGTATGCATCCAATATGTCATGGTATCAATTTTCTAAAAAAATCACTTTTAAGGTTCTTATAAAAAACCCGGTTTTTATATTTCGGCTTGGTTCAATTTTAAAATCAATACCTAGTATTAAGTTCGTGTTTGAGCCATGTAGAACCTTTTAATATTGTTTAATAAAACTTACTTTTATTAAATAATACTTTGGAGTTTGAATAAGTTATAAAAAACATGATTTTTACACTTATAATTCAATATTTCAAAAGTTTCCGTAATTAACAATTTCATAAAACCGGTTTTTATTTTATGGCTAGAATATGTTACATCCAATGTCCATATTTTATATTTTGAAATCCAAACTCCATGTGATGTTTATTTTGTCCAAAAATAGTTTGGGTTTGTGAAAAACTAAATTATCAACCACATAAAATATTTACTTGAAAAATAAACAACACAAGCATGCATTTGACGTAAACAAGCCTGAAACTATATAACACTTTTGTGAGCCAACACAAAAGTCACTACTACAAAAACAACCGTTTACGACAAGCAATGCGTGTCGTAAAACGCTCAGACGACACGCAAATGCGTGTCAAGGAAGGCCCTGTCATAACGAAAGACGACACGCTTTTGCGTGTCGTCTATTTACGACACACATTTACGACGCTCATTTACGACACGCAATGCGTATCAAGGAAGGCCCTGTCATAAAGGAAGATGACACGAATTTGCGTGTCATAACCTTACGACGCGCGTTTAGGACACGCATTGCGTATCATTAAAGCCCCCTATCATAAATGAAGATGACACGCATTTGCGTGTCATAAACTTCAACAACCATTTACGATATGCATATACGACGTGCCTTTACGATACTTATTTACGTCTAATACAAAAATATAGAAACAAATATATACCAAAACAATGAATTTCATCCAATAACATCGTGTCAAAAAATTGTAATACATTGATATTAAGGGTATCTGATTGTACATTGTTAGAAGAGGTTTTCTCTAACTATATAACCTAATACTACATTTCTATTAAGGGGCACCTTCTTGTTTCAGATATCATGTTTAAAAAAAAATCCTCCATATCATTGGTTTGCCACTTGGTGTACTGGGCTACTGTCCACCGGACGTGGATGGCAAGTAATGACATGAACAGTAGATCCATATTCTGGTTTGCCCATTATAAGAACCTGTTGCAAGACACCAACCAAATCCATGAATGATTAGGTATAGCTATGAACACATAGATGATAACAAACATGGATAAATTTTGAAATTGTCGCCTTTTACATTGTTGATAGTACAAAAAGGGAAAACTTTGATAGATAAAAAATATCAGTTGAAAATAGACCTCCTTTTTTGCATATGACCACCTTCAAAAGAGAAGTCTAACTTTTCACACTTCCTACTTCTCATATAATCTAAATCACATGACCAGTTCTTCCATGATATTGCACAATTATCTTCCAAAAATTTGCCATCCAAGAAAAAACTACTCCCTCCGTCCCAATATTATTGTCCACAGACAAAAAACACACATATTAAGAAAAGCATTAATTACCACTAACTTTATTTAATAAAATGACAGTTTTGTCCTTACTTTGCATTTAATGTTCTATTAAATGCTTAGTTTGTTAAGTAATAATGAGGGGGTATTTTGGTAAAAATGTTATTTATTTTTAGAAGTTGACTATTATTTTGGGACAAACCAAAAAAGAAAGATGAACTATAATTTTGGGACGGAGGGAGTATATAAATTAAAACTAAGAACTCACTTGTATCTTCTGCCAGAGGGGACAAAGAGAAGCAAGATCCTTTCCCAAAATTGGTTTCCAAGAAGACTATCAATGGCCACGTAAGCAAAATAGCCCCAAAGAGTTGGTATCAACTTTATAAGTAGCATTGCATATATAGATCCTACCAAAAGAATTGACTGCAGTAGATTGATGACTCTTTGTTTATTAACTCTCACAGGTAAGTGTGCATCAATGTGCTCCTCAAGATCAAACTTCCCCTTTGTGTTTTCTTCTCCATCTTCTACTTTCATCACTGCTTCTTGCAAGTCTTTTAGTTCTCTCACTATCGTAGTTGTCTGCAATGTAAGATAACAAGTTAAGAAAGTAGTAGCTAAAACAAAAAAAAATTTAAAGTTAATAGCAACATACTTTCATTATACTTTCATTTTTTTCTTATTAAAGGATTACATGTTGGACATTTCACCCGATTATAGCATTGTACTTTTGATCATTTTCTTATTAGAAAAGTATACTTTGAAAAATGTGAAAGTGTGTTACTATTTCTTGTGTTTTAACACTTAATATAATGAAGATTTACAATTGGAGGGCTATCGATTTCTATGAAAACAGTTTGCATCTTGTTGTAGATTTCGGAATTGCTAGCTTTCTGCTTTATGCTTTCCTTAGCACTTGTTACTAGCTTCTTTCTAATAAACTGGTAGAACAAAACAATTACATTATTAGAAGAAATAAATCAAATTAATGATACATTTCAAATTCTATTATTTATTTTTTTGTGGACTTGCCTGTTTTTTGAGAACTGCTAGGCTTTTAGTGTGCATGGGTGATTGAGGCAAGACACCATTTGAAGGAGGTAGTCCCAATAATCCGCAAAGCAACGTCTGAAACAACATTTAATAATTTAAAAAATATGCTTCCGATTGTTAACATGTTAATTATAAATTAATAATATATCCAAAAAAATATTGGGTACCATGAATCCAAGCAAAAGAATATCATAATGATAGGCTGAAGGATTCTTGAGGTTGAATTCTTTCTGTTGAGCTAACTGTGAAGCAACACTATGATCAAAGAAATAAAGCCCTGCTATCATAAGAGTTGGGATGAAGGTTGCAAAGATGTATGCAGGGGGGGGGGGGGGGCTTTACTCATATCCTGTAGTTAAATTTTAAGGGAATTTAGATCTAATTTTGAAGTTTAATCATATAAAATGAATAAAATGTCTACAAATTTCTACCTTGATAACAGTCCAATGGTATGTTGATTCAGATTCCCATAAGAGTGGACTAAAAAGTATTCTTGGAACTCCACAAGGGAGTTTGCTTGGTACACTGAAAGAGACAGCTGTCCATACTATAACCATCAATGGGACTCCATAGTCTGCTATGAAACTTCAGAGTCGCCCTAGTTTCACATAACAGTAGTTACATATTAAGATGATAAGAATCTACATCATATTTGATAAAAAGAAATATAAAATATGCAGAAGTAATCTAAAGCCTACTCCATTCACCTGTTCCAAACCACCATGATCTTACTTTCCTGCTTTTTAATGTAGTGTATAAAAGCCCAAATGAAAATACAACTGCAAGAATACCATTGGTGTAAAGCCACTGAAATTGATACTTCACTTTATTTGGATCCTCATTTTTAGGAATCGTGAACTCACTCACTAGTCCCTAAACCAACAAAATCACAGCTAAATGTTATAAAACATGAAACATCAGTAACAGTAACAAACTTTTAGCTTTGAAACTTTTCCTCCATTAGTGACTTTAGTGACCTTGATGGCTTCCTGAATGAAAAGTACAGAAATCAACATCCCAAAAGTTTCCCCTGCAATCCCTGTAAACCTATTAGCGATAACACAGACATTGAAAATTGCAAGAATAAACAACATCAGGGTTGTCCAAGTGCATACCCTGCAAAAATTATGTTGCTATTAAGACATAAATTAGGATTGGTGATTCAGAAAGCATGGAATACTAGGGTTCTTATATAAAAGTACCATCCTAATATAAAAATTACACTTTTGACAAAATGTGATATGAAATATACTCACAGAATGCAAAACTTGCAGGAAATTGATAATATGACTAACAACTGTCTGACTTGATCAAGATTGATCAAAATATGAAAACCATTTGGGCATTCCAAACCATTTCACTTCACCTTATGTCTTTAAAGGATCTATCATACTTACACAAATGAAACAAATTTGATTTTATCATTCCAAAGTTCCATTGGTCTATACGTTCCATATGACCCGTTGGATCCGGGAAATGTTCACTCTCCACTGATCTGTACCACTCATATAACGAGTGATAACCTGAAATAATATTTAACAAAAATTAATTATACAATCATTGTCAATTCAATAATAATAATAATAATAATAAATAATAATAATAATAATAATAATAATAATCATCATCATCATGCCTGAAGTTTCCAAGAGATTATGCCTGATGCAAGTTTCAATGCTAACTCCGTTAACAACTTAAGAACCAAAGTTGCAACCAGATGTGCATATACATGAAGAACTCCAATTACAATTCTCTTTTTGTGTGACACTTTTGATTGCAACTACTAATAACAAGATAGAACCCATAAAAGATACATATGATTGTCCAATCATGTATAGGGATGCAACTTTGACCCGCGGATACCCGACCCTAAGGGGGCAGGGATTCCCCGTCTTCACGGGTAACAGGGCGGGGACGGGGATTAATTTTCACAACCGGAGCGATAATGGCATACCCGTCCCCGCTCCGTATATATATATATATATATATATATATATATATATATATATATATATATATATATATATATATATATATATATATATATATAGAGCTAGGTTAATTTGTTTAAAGTAAGTATTGTGTTATTGTATGCATAAATGTGGGCCAATCAAAATTTAAAATAAAAATAAATAATTAAATAAATAAATAAGGGTAAATAGGTAATTTTATAATTAGATTCCACAAATAATAGCCTATAATTATGGTAACCATTCACTTAGTTGCCTAGGTTTTTTCCATCCCTTTTTTAAACCAATATGACGATTTAAAGGGGTGTTTTGGCCCTTGTCCCTCCAGCCGCCATTACCCATTTATTCCTCCGATCACGGCGCCGCTACCCCCTTCCGTCAACTCGCAACCACCTTGTGTCCATACTGACGCCGGATAGATGAACTCACGGGTGCTGCTGCCGCTAGTAAGGTCGTGAACAGCCGGAGAACCTCCCCTCCCCCCACCACCACCACCAAGGTCAGACACGCCAAGCTCGGACAGCGCCGCACTCTCCAGCGCCGGATCCAAAAATTTGAGTTCAAATCTGCGCTTCAATAACAATTAAATCAGGAAAAAAGAGGACCTTGATGGATTTGGTTCATCGTCGGTGAACATGACGTTGGAGAAGTTGTTCGTTCAAATCTTCAATCGCAAAGACTGTATCATCGAACAATCCCAGCGGCAAACGCAGCGTACTACGAGCAAATTGCTTCTAGGCTTCTTATCGATGAAATTACACCTCCTCAAAGCCTTCTGAAGCCGAGATTTAATTGTAGTTCTTCGAATCCATGGTAGGCATTAAATTATCGTTTTAAGTAGGCATCTTCTATTAAATTTAGCCTTCATCCCGTTGTTTTGTCATTGAAATTCATAGGAGGCCGTAATGAACTAATGATAATGATATGCTTACTTCTATTTATGTATTTTGAAGTTTTAAAATCACCGATTTTGAATTGTTTGTTAATGGGCATGCGAGATTGGTATTCAATTTGGAAAAAAAGAAGAGACCATCTCCAAGCTCTTACTTGAACATCCATATCCATGGGATTCTCTTCGCTATTCAACTGGTGGCTCTTTTTTGTATGACAGACCAGTTGTTTCCAATCCAGGGGTAATGGAAACCCATGCTCCTAATAAGACTAGATGGTCGGAAGTGCTGGTCGTATAAGCTAGAAGAGCGGTTCCAAACATATGTTTTTTTACACGCCTCTGATCGGTTACTTGATTTCTATCAGGTAACTTAATTTTGAATTTATATTTTGCTCAAACCAGATCCTAACCAGATCCTGGAAATAATGAAATCATGTGATTGTGTTACATGAACTTGATTTATGCTGTTGTTGAGCAACAATTGGTGCGTTTTCTATTTCTTATTCTATTGGCATTTGTTCACGAATTGTATGAAATCACGAATCCAATTCTGTTGGAATGGAATCATGAATTCTAATTCTGTTAGAATGGAATCACGAATCCATTTCTCTTTAATGGGTTTTGCGTGACTTTATTTTGGTTTGCTTCTTTATGCTTGAATTTTATCTTATATTGTTGGGTTATAATGATCAAGTGTTGAATACCATTATTTTTGTAGGTACGAAACGAGAGATATCAAAGCAAAACATGATACATATGAAACTTACAACATTCTACTAGAATAGAATCTTGAATTCTGATTCTATGAGAATAGAATCTTGAAGATGAACATTGTATGGGAAGAAGATGAACAATGACCACCAATCTTCCAAAAAGAATAGATTATTCTACCAGAATAATATACATATAATGAAAAAAAATATATGTAATAGTATATTCTGGTAGAATGATTCATATATTGTGTTTTTTGTGTTATTAATCAGTGTAACATTCGCATAGAATAGTGTATATATATATTTTTTTTCTTTTCTAAGAATGTAATGAATTTTTTTTTAACTTGTATCCAAAATTTTGTTATTCTTAAAGAAGTTCATTAAATCAAAATATATATTATGTCAGAATGTGTAATTCTTGTATGGTTCAATCATATTTGTTATTTTTTAATATATTGATAAACATATTCCGTCAGAATTTTCGAATTAGGAGAATTATCATCCATACAATCAGATTTTTAAAATTAATAGAATCTATTTTCCTTAAAAATATGTAATTTTCCTTTTTTAAATGTATGTTAATTGACTTAAATACCCTTAGAATGAAATTAGTTGGTATTTTTTAATTATATTTAATTTAATAATATGTATTATTCACTTTCCAAAAGTAAGTAAAATGATTGGCCTACAATTATGCATACAATAATACAATACTTAGTTTGAATAAAATAACCTAAGCCTATATATATATATATATATATATATATATATATATATATATATTATATATATATATATATATATATATATATATATATATATATATATATATATATGAAAGATTGATAAAAAAAATTACTATTACTAAAAGCATATAATAACGAGATTATTAACCCATTATTATAAGAATACTGCATTAAGCTTACCTTTTATGGGACTTGCAATGCATCTCTTTTATTATCCTCCTTAACCTCTTAATTTTAAGCAACTAACGATGTGGATTTAGATTAATGACAAATTGTCAAATTGTGAAAACCCATCCAATATTTGAATTAGATTGGAAAAAAATAGTCTACTTTTTTTTATTTTATTAATAAGTAAATGGGTATCCAACAGGTTTTTCATACCCGGTGGGGATCTCTACCTCCGAATCCGTCGGGTTTTAAGCAGGGTGGGGATGGGATGGTTATGGGATCAGAGTTCGGGTACGGGGACGGGTTTTGCAGTCTCCGCCAATATCCGCCCCCGTTTGCATCTCTAATCATGTACATAAAAATATCCCAAAATGTGCTAAAAAAGCTCTTTACATGCCCAGGAAATGTGTCTGCCTGTAGGATATGATCTAGCTTACACTGTCACACACAAAAAAGATCAGAATGTTTTATAAAAAAAATAGTGGAAATAAAAAACCGCATACTTACCGATGGAAACATTGAAAAAAGTCAAAATGAAGAATATGAATCCACCAATGAAGTCAAACTGCCGGTTCTTCTTTCGGAACTTCAATATATTCTATGACATCCCCAAAATCACGGCCAGAAAAAACCGGTTTAATTTATGCTTTTAAAATAATTTCAGAGTAATCCTTTGATTAAAAGAGTTGCGGAAATTGTTCCCAAAACGAAATATAATAAAATAACATTTACCAAAGCATTTCTTAAAGAAATGTATTTTCATTATATAACAAAACTCGGGATGTCATGTTCCGATACACACCAAAATCATAAACGACACATTATAAGCCTTACAACAGTTATATACACTACATGCCTATAATCAAAATATCTTGATTAGTCATCCAACTTATGCTCTCGCGCCACTACCTGTAATACAAAGAAAACTGGGTGGGTCAGGCTTGGGAGCCTGGTGAGCATATAGGGTTTTCAACCCACAATAAATAATTATATTAATTTCATCAATCAACAATAACCCAGTTACCCATTCCCGTTATCCTCACTTTACGTCCCTAAAACAGCTATCCCAAGGGACCTAGCCTAAGGATTTTCATCGGGGCGACAACACATGCTTCGGGGGTTCCTCAACAATATATGTCAAACAAGGCAACCATGTGGGGGATGAAGAACAACAATTGAACACCCAAGTTCAATAACACCTACAGGTGGCGAGCCTGCCACCGTTCCACTAGATTGTCTAGAAGAGTCTATGGTCGTCATCTAAACTCCGCTAGATGACTGAATCAACAACAACATCGATGTCTCTCATCATTTTATCATACATCAACTATCTACCCATGCTCTAACCCAACATTTTTGTAGATAAAAATATACATATATACGTTCATATACAGATTAAAACTTGATAAGTTATTTATTCAATACTCATTCCAAATAAACAGATAATATATCTATATATATATATATATATATATATATAATATATATATATATATATATATATATACACACACACATAGCACGTATTCTATAGGAGATACTTCATATCGATGTGTTAGAAGAAAGGGAATATACACTCACATGATAAGACGATGATCGGACATCACTACGGCTTTTATCGTAATACTCTTTGATGAAACCAGGATGTTTTCTCCAAAAACCGGGTTTCACGCGGGCAGAGTTTCGGCTTGAAAACTCTTTTTCTCGGGATATTCGGGGCTTCGGGACTTGCTTCGGGTGTCGGGACAATATCGGGGCTTCGGGGGTATAACTTGCACGTAGAAAGAAAGTTTAGGGGTGAGGGAAATGAAAATTAGAAACAAAATCCGACAGCCCTCGATTTCTATTTATAGGGGCTGAACCCTCGATTTACGCTGGGCATACATCCTCGTATGTTGGGCGTACTGGCTCGTCGACGTGTACGCGGGGCGTACACCTAGTACGCTGGGCGTACTGCCTTGTCGACATGTACGTTGGGCGTACTCTTCGGGTACGCTGGGCGTACGAAGTGGATCAGATCGGATACGTCATGGCTTCGGACCCGAGACACTCAAGTGATGGAGTAGGGCGACGTGGCCCAACTCAGCCCATGAACACGGGTACGTTGGGCGTACTCCGATTTATCAAACTTCAAAAATACGTAACTTCCACATACGAGCTCCGTTTTTGACATTCTTTATATCCACGCGTAGGTGAGACTATACTCTACAACTCTCGTTTAGACTCCGTCGGCTAATTTTGAATTTATTTTTATTAAATTATTTTTTAGTGGGCCAGGACAGGAAAACTCCGTTAGAAATTCATAACTCCTTCATCTGACGTCCGTTTTCGTCTGTCTTTTTAACGTTGGACTACTATCGACGAGATCTTCGATTCTCGTTTAGATTGTTTCTGCTAGAAATCACTCGATATCATATTCAAACTTTGGGCTGCATACCGCTAAGTCGAAACTTCGAAAAATCATAACTTACTCATACGAAGTCAGATTTAGACGTTTTTTTTATGCACGCTCTCGGTTTAACGTATTCTACGACTTTCGTTTAGATCACTAAGGCTAAATATCGCTCTATCGTAAATTCACTATTTACGTCACACAGTGTCGTATCGGTTCTGTCGTGAAACTTCGATATGTCATAACTTCTTCGTTATAACTCGGATTTCGGCATTCTTTATATTTTCGGAATCCTCGTAACGACCACTACGACTTCCTTCATAAATATCAGGCTTATCTAATATTTTATTATTACGCTTATTTTATCCTTAATTCAATTAAGTCACAGTAATTAAGCATAAAACACATAATACTTAAATAATACATTTTTATTACTTCAAAACGAGTTACAAAGGTTAACCTAGACTATTAAATCAATATTAATGCCTAGCTTAGAAACACGGGCGTTACAATTCTCGCCCCCTTAGGATGATACCGTCCCCAGAATCACACATCAACAAACAAATGTGGATAGCGACTCATCATGTCACTCTCCGTTTCCCAGGTGAGATTTGACCCATTCGTATGTTTCCAACGGACAAGCACTAATTCGACCATCTTGCATCGTAACTTCTTAGTCTTTCGGTCAACGATTGCCTCTGGTTCTTCAATTAACCTTTTGTTCTCATCAATTCTCAACTCAGAAATTGGAATTATGTCGGGAACTTCTCCCGTGAACTTCCTCAGATAACACACATGAAAAGTGTTATGAATACCATTCAGTTATTCGGGCAATTCGAGCTTGTAAGCTTGCTTCCCAATCCTCTGAAGAACTTTAAACGGTCCAATAAACCTTGGACTTAATTTTCCCCTTTTACCAAATCTTATAAGTCCCTTCCACGGTGAGACTTTAAGCAAAACCGAATCCCCAACTTCAAATGTCATCGGTCTTCGCTTTTTGTCAGCATAACTCTTTTGACGATCCTGAGCCGCTAACATTCTCTCCCTAATTATTTTCAGCTTTTCGGCAGTCTGATGGACTATCTCGGGTCCCATAAACTATTTTTCCCCAGCCTCAAGCCAACAAGACGGCGTACGACACTTCTGTCCGTACA